CAGCGTACTATGGTTCGGGTTTGTGCCAACCTTGGAACACGAAAACAAATAAAACACAGCTTCTGCCCAGAGCACCTCCCCAAGCAGAGGGAAAGGCTCTAGGGTCAACCTAACCCCAGGACATGGTTAAGAGCTATCATGGTGGCACCAATGAGCACAGTGGAATTAGGGAGGTGGGTCAGAGGAAGGTACAGGGAAGAAGGACCTGCCCATACTGTTAAGTTCTAAACTGCTGAGTTCCAAAATCAATGATCACTTCTTAGTAGACTGGACATCAGTTCTTTCTTCTGTCTCTACATAGTTCTCTGTAGGTGCACCTATAGGGAAGACATCTCACCGTTGGACTTTGTCCTCCAGGGAACTGGGAGGGTTGAAGCCGGAAGGGTTTTCTTCTGAATGAAAGTGCAGGTGCCCCACCTGTTGTGGCACGTGGGGATCCTTGTGTGATTTCTACGTGAGGAGCTTTGTGATAAGGTAACAAGGGACTGCTGATGTTAAAAATGATATTTTCTTCTAGAGCTCACTCAAAGCAGAGACCCTGCACCTGGAATATTAGTAGCTAGGATATCTAACAGGATTGAAGGTTTTAAAAAGTGGCAGCAAATGGACAGATCAGAAAAGACAGAAGCAGGCACCTGGGTGGCTCAGCCAGTTAAGCGTCAGACTTTGGCTCAGGTCATGATCTCACAGTTTGTGAGTTCGAGCCCCGCGTCAGGCTCTGTGCTGACAGCTCAGAGCCTGGAACCCACTTCGGATTCTGTGTCTCCCTCTCTCTCTCCCTCTCTCTCTCCCCCTACCCCCCTCAAAAATAAACATTAAAAAAAATTAAGACAAAAGGAAGAGTCTGAGTTGGATACCATGGAATCATCTTGATATAAAAATCTTTCAACAGGTCTTTAAAAATATAGAACATATATCTGAACCACCGCCCTGACAATTGACTAAAGGTTCCTTGCTGGAGAAGAGTTGGTATTTCCTAAATGATTTAGGAATTTCCTAAAAGATTTAGTATTTCCTAAATGATATTATGAATGATGTCTAACGTCTTAGGCTAAGTAGGTCTGAAAGGTGGAAACAGTGGAACGTTTATTTGCAATTCTACTGAAACAACACCTTCACTAACCATTCTGTTTCAGCGCTGCCAAAACATATTTTATCACGTTTGTTGGGACAGTGCATTACACGTTTTTAAAACTCATAAATCCAGACTTCTCTTTTGATGTATTGAAGCAATTCAAAGAATGCATGTTAACCAGAAAATGAAGAAGCCAAGGATAACTCCTTAGTCTATAAAACCATGTTTTCCCATCACTGTCAGATTTCTTTGCGGGGCATACAGTTTTGTAGGTCTGTCCATTCTGAATCTCTGTACTCTATTAATCTTATTTAACACTAACTTACGTAGCGCCCATTATGCCCCAAGCACTGTTCTTAACTGAATCAGTCCTTACAAGACCCCTGTGAGGCAAGCACTAGTATCCCAATTTTACGTATTGGGAAACTGAGGTGCAGAGAGGTTGATTGTCCTGATCAAGGTCACAGGTCACGTGACTGGAAAGTGGCAGGGCCAGGATTCGAGACCAGGCAATCTAGCTCCCATCCTTGCCCTCCTAAACATCCCTTTATTCAGTTTCCCCACCAGACTCCCCTTCATTTGCCAGAATATTTGGTGAAGAAATTGGCAACTGCTCCAGAAGCTGTAGTCGATTTTTATCCCAAAAGTGAGGAAGCTATTCAAGCATAAATTCACATCCCTTGAATCCTTTTTCTAAAGGAAATGTAGAAAACCACGTAGAATGTGGTCCTGAGGGGAACACTCCTGCATCTGCTTCAGTCAAACCTATTAGACCAGGGAAAAGGTTATATACAGGCCAAGTAGAGCTTAACTCAAGAGTAGCTGAGAGAGCCCTCAACAACAGAGAAGGCGGATGGATCTGGGACAGACAGTTGAGATAGGCATGGAGACCCGGATTCCCACCATGTGCCTGCCTTACTCCCAGAACAGAGATCCAGGAGCTGTCCGAGGAGTCAGGAAGTATTTGTTGGCATGCCTGTGAGTGTCTAGTGTTCTTGTGGATCTGAAGAGACGAGAAACTGAAAACACCCGCCTAAAAGGAGTTTAGGATTCACTGTAGCTGGGGAGCCCAGGTGCCTGAACAAGACGATGAAATAAAGTGCTCAGTTGAGTCAGTGTGGTAATTAGACATGAGGCCAACCTATAATAAGGCACTAATTGTGCAGGCCAGGCATCAAGGGCAAGAGGTAAAGAGCTGCCACCAGCCACTAGCAGGCAACAATGACATTACAGAGGTGGAGTAAATCTGCCTCACCTAGCCTTGCTTAATTAAAGCAATAAAAGCGGGTTACAGAAGAGCTTGGGGCAATGCTGATGAGTCTGGTGCTGAAGTTGCAGAGAGCTCTTAAAAGCCCAGCAGGGAAACATCTTCTTTCCAGTCTTAAAGAGAGGTAGCCAAGTTCTAGACCTTTCTTTACCTTTGCCTTTTCACAATTAGCCCAGCACCCTAAGAAATGCAAACGTGAGCGGCTGTTTTCCCTATAGGTCTGTTCCCTTTAAACGCTTTGATTTGTCCTGCCTGTGCCTTGTCTGAAAAATCACTCAATATAAATAAGCAGTCGGACAGGCCAGCCAGTCTGTGTCCGTCTTGTTCTTCTAGAAATTGCAACTTGTAATTCAACTGGTAGGAAAATTGATAGGAAGACATGGGTGAAGCTCACTCTCATTAGAGGAAGGGTCTTCATGTGTGTTTCACATTGAGCGGGTAGCAGGGTGCTTCTTAAGTCTCTCACTAGGGCATGTGTGAAAATAAGGGGTCACATATTCTGATTAGCAAATCTGGAAATACTTGAACACACATACACGTGCTGATAGCCACAGAATCCAGACAGAAATGGAGGAGTGAGGCCTGGAAATTGACCTGTTGGGGAAAAAAGGGAAGCAAATGCCATGCCTTTAGTTTCTTCTGGTTTTGCCTATTTTAATCCTTTGCTTTCCTCTTTGAAAGCAGATTTCCAGAAACAAATGACCAGGTTATCCCTGGCTGTGAACTCTGGAGGGAAGAAGGCTCTAGCTCCATGTCCCACCTGATTCAGTTATTCATCCCAAAAATGCCAGGAGATACCAAAAAGACTCCATCATTTCATAGTCTCCTCCAAACTGTACCCTTCCAGGGATGTATCGACTTGACAATTGAACCCTGGATTTTCTGGGCCACCTGAGACTTGAATTTCTTCTTGTCAGGGTCTGCGGGGATGGAATGCCTTGAGAAGGATAGATACCTCACCTTAGAAAAATAAGGCACTTCTGGCCACAGTTCTGTTGCAGTCCGTTTTGGCTTCTCTGTGTACAAGGTGTGTGTTCTTAAACCAAGAAATAGCAGACAGTCTAGAAAGGCAAGAGGATTAGGAAGATAATGATCTGCTTGGAAAGACTATCGGGCGTCTAACCCCAGTGATCTGAGCTTTGCTGCAGATCATTTTTTGTGATTTTGAGTAAGTCAGTTAACCTCTCAAAGGTTTTACCCTAAATTTAGGTTTACCCTAAATTTTAGGTTTTACCCTAAAATTTGTATCTTACCAGACGGTAAAGCTCAGAACCTATCATGGATTTACATATACTTAAAGAATGAAAAATGATCATGCTTAACTTTAGATTTTAAGATTTCTCTCTTTGGGGCACCTGGATGGCTCAGTCAGTTAAGCGTCCGACTCTTGGATTCGGTTCAGGTCATGATCCCAGCGTCGTGGAATCAAGCCCCGCATCAGGCTCTGAGCTGAGTGTGGAGCCTAATGCTTAAGATTCTCCCTTTTTCTCTCTCTCCCCCGCCCCTCGCCACTTGCACATTCTATCTCTAAAAAGAATAAAATAAAATTTATTTTAAAAATATTTCTCTTTTATCACTTTGATGCATCTTGAGGGTGCCTTTTCCGCTCTGAAAAAAATTAAGTGAAAAATTTTTTTTAATTTTTAAAAATTAACAAAACGAAATGGTAATTACATGCCATACTTGATTGAAAACCTGAACATGCTCAGGAAGATTGCTAACAGTTATTGGTGGGTTTCTTCTTAAATATTAACAAAGAATGAGGAAGAGAAGTTAAGGGATGCTTTTGGTAAAAATATAAAACCCAAGAAATTAACGATGAAAATATTGAATTTGTTCACAAGAACAGAGGAATCAGAATCTCAACCCTGAAAGGGATCTTAGTAATCAGCTCAGTCTTCCCTCTTGTTTTATAGATGAGGACACTGGGGGGGCGACTGGATGGCTCAGTTGGTTAAGCACCCGACTTCAGCTCAAGTCATGATCTCATGGTTCGTGGGTTCAAGCCCCACATTGGGCTCTGTGCTGACAGTTCAGAACCTGGAGCCTGCTTTGGATTCTGTGTCTGTCTGTCTGTTTGTTTCTCTGTCTCTCTGTCTCTTTCTCTCTCTGTCCCTCCCCCATTCATTCTCTCCCCACCCCAAAATAAGTAAACATTAAAAAATAGATAGATGAAGACACTGAGGTCCAGGGAGGGCAACTGTCTTGTCAGCGACTTCGTCAGGAGCTACAGGAATAGAACTCTGGCGTCCTGACTCCAAGCCCAGTATTCATTTAGCACCAGCATCCCATCTGTCTCCAAAGCCCTCGAACAGGTGCCAGAGAGCCTGTTGCCTTGGTACAGGGGCCACAGACGTGGACAGCCTTGTTCCTCGGTCCCAGGCTCCTCCAGGGCCCTGCTCTTGCATGGCACTTACTGTGTCTGGGATAAGCGGTCTCAGACATCAGACAGCTAAATGGCTCCCCTTCTTGTGGCCTGGTGCCACTGCAGTGACCATTTCTCTTTCTCTCCCCTTGCCCTTCTCAGATCCCTCCAAGGACTTTTGCTTTTAGTCCTTAACTAAGCCAGGCTCCTGCCTGGGTGATGTCACAGTGGCTGCCTGTCTGCATGTGGCACAATGTGGGGTCAGGTGCCGTTTTCAGCACCCTTGGGTGGGACCCTTTGCTGACTGGTCTCTGCCTAGCATGGGCGGGCTTTCTCTCCAAAAAAGCGGCGTGCTGGAACTCGGCCCTGCAAGAAACATTCGCCACCAGAAGCAGATTTTAGGGACCCAATCTTAGGGTGTCTCTCCTGGCTGAAGCTTCACATCCCCCGTGCTTCCTAGGTTAAGGCAGGATCAGCCTTCCACATGTTGGCTGGTGTTCAGCGGGGGCCCCACCTTAGAGGACAGAATGCGTAAGCTCAGGCCCGTGGCCTGTGAACGCTGCCACACGTGGCCCACCCAGTAGTGCCACCTCTGCGTGACCATGTGTGGGCAAGAGAGCCGAACAGTAAGTAACCCAAGGTCACGGTGGAGGCACCAGCCCACCTCCCCCTTTAGTTTCCTAGTTATGGGGCAAAGTTAATGGTTGTAGTGAGGAGTGAAAAGCAGGCTCTGGAATGAGAGCAGGCTTGGGGGTGTACCCTGTCAACTGCTTCTTAGAAGTATGAACGTAGGCAAATATCTCCATGCCTCGGTTTCCTCGTCTCAAAAGGGATGGGAAAGCCAGGATGTATATCTACAAGAGAGAGGAAATGGGAAGATCAAACAGGATGAGACATGTCTAGCGCCCAGCCCAGTGCCTGGCAGGTCATAGACACACAGGAAGAATCTGGGCCCCACTCTGACACTCAGCATTCCTACCCTGACAGAGGCCAGAAGGAGGTTCAAGGCCAGATGAGACCGTGCACCTAATTACAGAGGGTCCTCAGACAGTGAGAGTAACATGCTCAGTGACAAACAGTGTTGAAGGCAGCTAGATTGGTGATACATTGTTACCTTTGAAAAGAGTTTGCTGCTGGGTTGCAGACTTCGGGAAGGAGTTCATGCAGGGAGATGGCAGCAGAAGCCAGCGGCGGATACCATCTGCTGGACCGAGAGGGGGACGTTAGCCACCTCTCTAGACAGTTTTGGAAGTTGAGGTCACCCCTTGAGCTTCATTTCTTTACTCATCTATAGGAACAGGCTGGACCACAGGGCACATGGTGCCTTAGTCGGTTAAGTGTCCGACTCTTAATTTTGGCCCAGGTCATGGTCTCACAATTCCACAGTCCGTGGGTTCGAGCCCTGTTTTGGACTCTGTGCTGACAGTGTGGAGCCTGCTTGGGATTCTCTCTTTTTTTTTTTTTTTTTTTTTAAAAACTTTTCACCATTTTTATTCATTTTTGAGAGACGGAGAGAGAGTGTGAGTGGGGGAGGGGTAGAGAGAGAGGGAGACACAGAATTTGAAGCAGGTTCCAGGCTCTGAGCTGCCAGCACAGAACCCAATGGGGGGGGGAGGGGCTCAAACTCACGGACAGTGAAATCATGACCTGAGGGGAGGTTGGCTGCTTAATTGACAGAGCCACCCAAGGTCCCCATGCCTAATACATCAGAGAAATACAAAGAACGTGTTAAATTACAAATGTCCTCAGGGCACACCAGGCTTTGGCAAAGGGCTACACAGTTTATTCTTCCTTCCATCTGCCTCTCTTTCTCATGGTTTGTGAGTTCAAGTCCCACATCAGCCCGCTTTGGATCCTCTGTCCCCCTCTCTCTCTGTACCTCCCTTACTTGTGCTTTCTCTCAAAACTAAATAAACATTAAAAAATAATTAATTAAAAATAAAAGAAGATGGCCAGTTATGAGGCAAGAAGGCAAATTTAGCTTGCTGACCACTACCTGATTTTCTCTGTAAACTTTAATTAATATATATAGGATTTGGCTTGGGGATGTGATGTTTTACTTTTTTTTTTAAGTGTTCTGTTGAAGGTTGAGTATGTCAGAAGACAAGAGGCAGGCAGAGCGTGACAGACCCCCCACGGAGGGAGGAAATCATGTAGACACAGAACAGGCCAGTGTGCTCTGCCTGCCTGGACACCCTCCTTGGCTGGCAGCTTGTGATGCAGACAATAAGGCACCTCTCCTTTGAACCACACCCTTACCTTTTGGAAAAAAAGTTTAGTGACTCATTCTGTTGGGGTTTTTTTTTAATGAAATATTTCAGACATAGTGATTCACGGCTTATTCTTTGTTTTTCCGAGAACCATCTAACAATGGGTATAAAATTAGGACTCCTGGCTGGCTCAGTTGGTAGAACGTGCGACTCTTGATCTTGGAGTTGTAAGTTTGAGCCCCATGCTGGGTTTAGGGCTTACTTAAAAATAAAATCTTTAAAGAAAAAAATAAAAGTGGGTATAAAATTTACAATCCTTTTAGATCCTTACACAAATTAAGAGAATTGTAGCTCAGGTAAATTCATTTTTTACTTCTTCGGGTTCCTTTCTAAAGCTTCTAGGACCATTTATTCATCTTTGAAATTGCAGGGCTGGCTTTTGAACACTTTTAAGTCTATCACTCTGAAATGTGAGAAATTCTAAAAGAGGCAAACACCATATTCTTGAGACGGTGGGATTTAAACCAGGAAAGTTATTGATATACTTGTTAGGATGAATTCAATTGAGAAAAATGATAGCAACATCAGAAAAGATGCTACTTTCTTTCAGGGGACCTTTTAAGGGACTGTGTGAGGGTAAACCGAGTTATATAACTGTATTAAAAGTTAGTTTAGTTCAGAGTGCAACATTGAGGGCAAGTTCAAGAGGATATAGGACAAGCCCCCCAACAGCAATTCAGCATAATACTGGATTTGTTAACATGTTAACTATTCACCTGAAATAAATTTTGACCTAAGCTAAAAGCCTCCTATTTAAGGGTTTCTGCTACCTTGCTGATGTTCATGACCTCTGCTAAGGAGTTGGATGAAATTGAGTTTCAACTACATAGTTCCCACTTGTAGGGACTCAGAAAGTTTAATCCTTAGGAAAAAAAATTTTTTTTGAGTATTTGGATGATCTTTTTCTTTATGCCAAGGGGAAAAAATTGCGCCGCATTTGAGTTTATGAAGCCAGTCTGCATACAGATATTTAATCTGAGCCATAACGGTTAGGTTTGTTAACGCTACTTTAAAACTGTATAGTCCCCAAACCTTCTTCTTTGCTATGTGTGATTACATGTGTGGATGTGAGAACGTGAGTGGGTGTGGTGTCTTAGGAAAGTAAAACTCACAAAGTACTTTGAGATGCTTCTAAGGATTTTAAATCTAGCAGAGCTAATCCATGACTTCAGTATAGGACCTTATCTCATGAAAGCCAGTGGTGTTTGCAATCTGAGAGGATCTGCAGTTCCTGGACATTTGTTGGATTGAGAACAGTGGATTTTGGGGGCTTGAATGCATGTAGTATAGAACTTGCCTGTTCTTGTGATGGTCATGGCCTTGACCCTTGCACATAAAGCCTGGGCTCTGGGTCAAGTTTCTTAGGGCAGGTGATGGATTTATAAGGTGATGGATTTGCCCCTTATTCAACAAATGATGATTAACTACAGGCACTAGATCTGTACTCTTCCCATCACTAGTGATCAGTGCTCAGCTAGGCATCCTGCCTGGCCAGTCTGCAGATGGGCCACAGGAAGATAGGACCTGTGAACTTGGCCTTAGCATCAGCCTCTCAAACCCATTTGTGTCACTCAGCTGTGGATAGGCAGCACGGGAATCGAGTCATAAGTGGCATCCCACAAGGCCAGCGCAGCACCCCAGTCCCTAGGGCTCGTGGGGCCACAGACTGCATTTTACTAAACACATTTGTGTCTGCCTGTCCCATCGTCAGCTATAATGAAGCATGTGAGCTATCGATGGATCTGGAGGCAATTCTCTGGACAGATGTAGTGGAGTTTGTTTTAGGTTTTGTTTCAGAAAATGAACTCTAATTTCAGTCGTTTCTTGCTTTTTGCTTCTGAAACTCTTAAGAGGGAAGGCTAGATGATTTCCTTAGATTTCAAACACTGTGCCCTACTGAGTTCAGATGGTCATCCCTCACTGCCTCTTCCTTCTCATGTGGACCTGTAGCTCTAGGGAGGCTCAGAACTCCTCGGCTTCTGTGACTCCTCCTCGGACTTCCTTCCCTCCAGGGCTTAGTCCCTCCGCCTTTCTGGGCCTCACTGCACTCCTCCGCCAGGTAGAAGAATAATTATTTCGGGCCTGGATTACTAACATATGGAGAAGCCAACTCTTTTTAATGCTACAGAACCCTTGGCCAAAAAAGTACAACACGATTACTGTAATTAAAATGATCATTGTTTTCAGTCTTTTCTTTGGAAACAAAATGGAAAAGGAACAGAAAACCTACCACCAGCTGGAGCTCCCACCTGTTGCCTGAGTGCCTCTCTGAGCGCCCTGGCCTCTGGTGGACCCCAAGCCCTCTTGTCTGTCTCTTCTTTCTTGCCTGCTAGCAGTGCCCGGATGGCCTTACTAATAGTGTGAATACGATCCTCATAGCTTTCTCAGAGGCTGGGGTGCCTCACCAGTACCCTCAGGGTGAAGTCTCAACTCCTCATGAGCCTGAGGCCTTGCAAAACATAGCCTACAGAACATAACCCTGTCTTTAAACCTTCATCTCCACTTAACACCCCCACTCACCCCATGTTCCCAACTCAGCCCAGGTGTGAGCGCACTCAACGCACACAGCGCTGGACATCCAGCTCTCCCATCTGTGTCACCACTCTCCCTGCTTTGTCTGGGTGGAGCACTTCACCTGGATCTGTGCCCTGCTCAGATCCCCTCCCTTTAGACGTCCTGGCCACCAGAAATCCTGTTTATCTCACTTCTGGGTTTTGTTTGCATTGGGGTGGTGCTATTTGCCTCTCCATTGTGCTGTTCAGTAGACACCTATGTGTTAGGATCGTTGTTGGGTGGGTCTGTCCAGCCTCTGTATCCATTCACTCAAGAAATACTGTTTTGAGTATATATTCATGAGATACCAGGCTCCAATGCTAAGCAAAATGGGACTTGCAGGTTAATAGAACAGAGCACATTAAGACTAGTCTTAGCAGGTGGGAGCTGGGAGAGAAGAATGGCAGGGCCCGAACAGGGCAGTACACACACATTATTGCCCTCATCATCCCTTGTGTGGGAGCCGCCTGCATAGTTCCTTACAGATAGTGGCTGCTCCATGAATATCTCTTTGAATTGAATTGAATTGAATTGAATTGAATTGAATTGAATTGAATTGAATTGAATTGAAGACCAGAGAATTAAGAGGGCAAACAGGGCACGGAAATGAGAGTAAAGGGTGGAGAAGGGGGACTAGAGGAGGCTGCCCCTCTGAGGGCATGAGCTGGCAGGCAGGATTGAAGGTCCTGGGGCCCACCAGTCTCCTTGTGTGCACACCCCAGAGGCCTGAGCAAACACTTCGTGTGGGCTCTAAAGGCCTGAGCAAACAGTTCTGGCCAACTCTTGCAAGCAAGGACTCACGT